CTCCGTGAATGGAAAATTAACGAGATGTCCAGTTTGTGACTGTGGAGGTGATGCGACTCTCAGACCGTGCAACATATCATGAACGACTGCCCCAATTGATCATTCAATGGCGATCTGAAACAAATCTACACAGATACTCCTGAAGCAGTTGGAATGGATATCAAATCTCGACATCAATTTGTAATCCATTTGAATCTCCAAAAATGTCATACGACAAAAGAAAATTGTGAATTAGAAACCGGTCCTCACTTGATCACTACGCCAGAGCAGCCTGTTAATTTTTCGTGACTGTAGCGCACTGTTTTTTCCTATGGAAACAGTCACAAATCCCGACTCTGTGGGTACTTTGGCTCCATACGGCGAGTACATCAGTTCCAACAGGGTGTGCTCCAAAACACCAATTACTGTTGTCTCCCCGTCCAATTGCACTGCTCGAATTATTCACCTCTGCTGGCATTGCAGATTCATATCCTGCTTTCGTACGAGTCTCCCTTTTTTTTGTTTGTTGTGTTTTGTAAATATGTATTATTATTGTTGTTTTTAAGGTGCCAAAGGGTAGAAAAGCAATAGCAAGAGGAAGGGGCAAGACATCGTGTAGATAAACGAATGGTTGACATAACCACATCCCGCCTCACTACTCTCACCTTGCACTGAAGGCTCATAGTAGAACCCTCACGCAGCCTCACTAAAAAAAATCTTCGGACACCAAAGGTCGAACTGTTACAGCCTCACGTCAGTATACACCACTCTACACTACACTACATTAGTATAGACTACACTGCTATTCACTACACTATATACACTACACGATTAAAAACTACACTACTATACAACAATAACATCCGCCGTTCGCCACTAAGTGGTGGTGACGCCACCATAGAACTTGTGCCAGGCTCGGTGCATGTTAAGGCCACGGGAAGTGTCGAACGCCTGCTGGCAAGAGGTCACGGGGCAGACCCAGGTACCATGGGTCGACTGACTCAGATGACTGGCCGATGCACCACCTGTTCCCCCAACTGTGACAACTTGCTGTGTTTTATCCAACAGGAGCAACAATCGAACCTGGATCTTCTGTTTCCTCATGATTTTGGAAATATTTTTAGTGACCCCTGCTATGTATGGCAAGGTGATGATTTTGATTGGGTCCTCGGATGATTATTTCCCAACAGTTGGGGTGATAGCTTTACGGATTGTGTGGTCAGAATATCCATTCATCTTGAGAGCTTGGTGTACGTGTCCTAGTTCACTGGCTAGGTGATGACGGTCGGAAATACATCGAGCTCTATGGTGTAGAGTTTTGATGAGGGAATTCTTCCCTCAGCATCTGAGCAAACACAAGATCCAGGTTCGATTTAACACAGTACATAAAATTCGTGATCTGATGCCATCTGTGAAGGATGTGATCCCTGACATGCAATACCCTGGTGTCTACAAACTAAGCTGTGTCCGTGGCAACATGTCTCGGACCATGTTCGTGAACATGAGGCAGATCTGAAACACGGTAGGACCAATACCTCGGCTCTGGCTGATCATTGTTTTAATGCGGTCGGCTCACACAAAATTGATTTCTCTAAGACGAAGGTACTTTGCAAGCCCACTGGCTTTCAACAAAGATGCGTTCATGAAGCCATCCATGTATATAGACACAGACACAATTTCAACCGAGAATATGGGTACAAACTGAGCAATCATTGGAAGGACATTATTAATCAGTTTAAGTCGTAACTGGTGTCGCAAGAACTTTCGTCGGGCCCATAGCTGAGACAGTACGACTTCTCTCTCGCAAAGATATGGACAAAAAAGTTGACCCGTTGAAGTTTGTTGTACATTTGTTTATAAGATAGGAAAACAAATGGTGGTATCTCCTAGATACCAGACGGGGAGTGTTCTGCCTCACGGCAGGTATGGGGGTGTTGATTACACAGGAACTTCCTGATATGGTGTTGAGTTTGGTCACGTGACCAGGAAGTGACGATTTAAGATTCTCTAAGCCATGGGGCAGGGTGTCAGCCATTACAGAGAGTACAAAATGGAGGCACAAATAGCGTCTCAGTGAAGACAGGTGCATCTGTTCATTGTGGGACTTTAAGAAGCATTGTCTGTAATCTTTGCTTTTTTTAGGTAAAGTTACGTAGGTAGAAAAATTATAAAATAAAATAAAAAAAATTTCTCACAAGCGGTCGTCCTCAGGCAGAAAAAAATATCCAGCAGTGGAACGGCTGAACCAGCGAGAGAGCTGTTACAACAAGAGGTTATTTACGTGGCGATGGGCAAGCAAGCGGGGTCTGAGCTGGAAAGGAATTCCATCCCCGGATGCAAGCACGTCAGTTGTGTTAATGGGGGAGATTAGGGAGAGAGAGATTAGGGAGAGAGATTAGCATTGGGCTTGCACGATATTGTTTGCCCCTGTAGTTGTTACAGTCTATGCAGTCCCCCTTCTTATACACTTCTTAAATAGGGGGACTACTAGGGCATCCTGCAGAACCCGTCCAGTGGTCCAGACTTATTACGATGTCATGAAGGGCAGTCTGCGCACAAACTCCACCCTCCCTCAGCATTTCGCTCGGGAGATCATTTCCGCCAGGTGCTTTTCCTGGTCTCAGACTCTGGATCGCCTTTTCCCTCACCCAAAACCTCACAGAAATGCTCAGCAATCCTGCAAACCTATTCTTGGGGGTCGGAGATTGGATCACCTTTCTTCCCCCTCATGATGGCGATAGGTGTGGCGCTACAAGTTACTTTTTTGATGGAGTTTAAGAGTATACACGACACCACAATACTCAACGATACACTACACTAGTATACACTACACTATTATACACTACACTACTATACACTCAACTACTATACACTACACTACTACAGTGAGGGAAAAAAGTATTTGATCCCCTGCTGATTTTGTACGTTTGCCCACTGACAAAAAAGGATCAGTCTATAATTTTAATGGTAGGTTTATTTGAACAGTGAGAGACAGAATAACAACAAAAAAATCCAGAAAAACGCATGTCAAAAATGTTATAAATTGATTTGCATTTTAATGAGGGAAATAAGTATTTGACCCCCTCTCAATCAGAAAGATTTCTTGCCAAAAATTACAACCAGCATCATCAGGCATCGACAGCATCCCATATCGGAGAATGAGGAGGAAGGATAATCTGCTCGGAGGTTCGGAGAGCCGTGCGGTGCTGCAAGGATCAGTGGCGGTCGCGGGTTGCTGAGGAGATGGAATCTGCTTCACTCGCCAGCGATCACAAATAACTCATTAATTCAATCAAAAAAGTAACTTGCAGTGCAACACCTATGACCATCCTTAGAGGAAACAATGGTGAGCTGATCTCCATCTCCCAGGAACAGGTTTGCTGAGCATTCTTGTGAGGTCTTAGGGGGGCGAAATCCCTCAGCCTCGAAAATATCATGGGGCAAAGTGGGGATGACCCTGCTGAGGTTTCACTGCCTCAAATATTGGACGGAGTCACCTACTGTGAGTGGCTGACTGAGGTAGCATTTGTTGAGGAAGTACAGAAGGCAATCCAGAGTCTTAGACCAGGATAAGTGCCGGGCAGAGATGAACTCGCAAGCAACATGCTGAGGGAAGGTGACTTTTGTGTGCAGACTGCTCTATATGACATCATAACAACAGTCTGGACCATTGAATGGGTTGCATAGGATTAGACGGATGTGCTGGTGATCCCCCTCTTTAAGACGGGGGACCGCACAGATTGTAACAACTACAGGGGCATCTCCCTCCTCAGTGTACCGGGAAAGGTCCTGGCATGGATTATTCAACTTTGCCTTGCCAAGGAGAGGCTTGGCGAGCCCCAATGTGGTTTCAGGCCAGGGGGGACCTGGTCAATGCCTATGATACCATCAATAGGCCTGTGCGCTGCGTTTTTCTTCGTGATTTCGTAGTCCGTGATGCTCTGCTCACAATCATTAAGTACCTTCATGATGGTGGTCAGGCCCGGGTAAGACTATGTGGCCGGCAGTCATAGCCATTCCCTGTTAACTTTGGGGTGTGACAGGGATGTCCTCTGGCATCTACATAATGTAACATTTGTTTGACCACATTGTTCAAGAAACCTTCCATGGCTGTACCGGAGAAATATCCATATGGTACAGATACAATGGGAGGCTGATCGATGCCTGGGTGTGGTTGATGAATGGCTCCGGATTGATAAACCATGTTTTATATGCTGATGCTCTGGTGATTGCTGCTCACTCATAAAATGAGTTGGAGGCGCTGCTACTGACCCTGGAGCGTGGTACTAAGAGGTGGGGACTTAGCATCATGCCCTCCAAAATGAAGCACCTCCCTGGGTATTTTATGCCATCAAACACCCCCCTCCCTCAACTCCTCATTGGTGATGTGGTATTTATGGAGAGAGTGGAGAGGTTTCCATACCTGGGCAGTGTGCTCATGACCTGCTTTGGTTTGACAGCAGAGCTCTCACTCCGAATCAGTCGAGCGGCATTATATTTTCATTAGCTGCGTAATGCTGTGTGGAAGTTACCTGGTCTGTTGCTCTACACTAAGCTTCGCGTCTTCTCGGCCATAGTCATGACTTACCTTTACTATGCTTCCGAAACATGGACCCCCCTAATGGAACATCTTTCTCGGTTAGAAACATTTAGCTTGACTTGCCAACGATCCATCCTGGATTTAACCAGGTTGGATTGTGTGAGAAGCTCACAAATCCTTGAAAAATCTGGACACAATCCCATCGATGAGCTCTTTCAGCAGGCAAGGCTGCGTTGGCTGGGTGATGTAGCCCGCATGCCCAGCCAACGCTGTTGCTTAGGTGAGGAGTTGGTTTATCTCCGGCTGGCTGATTTGCATAATTAAAAAGCGAAGGTGCAAAGTGCATAGAATAGAGCCAGTGAGACGAGAGAGAGAGAGAGGTATAGGAGGTGGGGGAGAGAAAGGGGAGGGAGGAGAGAAAGAAGGAAGAGTGAGAGAGGTGAGAGGGGGGGGGGAGAGGTCTAAAGTGCAGATATTAGTGTCAGTAAGACAGACAAGGAAGAGAGGACAGACGGAGGAGACAGGAGAGAATGAGGGAGACCGAGTGATGGCATTTTAGTAGAATCCACCTGCCCCTTAATAGGAGCAAACTGTTCTGGCGTCTAAAGACTGCGACGCAACAGGTACCCGAGTGAGAGTGTGTGTTAGTGTGTGTGACTCTCTGCCCAGAATAATTTATGATGGTGCGGGGGATCTGCGTGACCGGGAGTCAGGGATGTCCTCTGGCTCCTACATTATTTAACATTTTATTTTACCGCGTAGTTCCAGATGCTTTCCATAGCTTATACCAGAAGCATTTCCATCTGGTACAGATACCGTAGGAGGCTGATCGATGCACAGGTGCAGTCCTAGGACAGCTCTCTATTGGTCAACCATGTCATGTATTTTGATGATCTGGAGGCCCTGCTGTTGAATCTGGAGTGTGCTACTGAGAGGTGCAGCCTTACCATCAGCCCCACCAAAAACTAAGCACCTGCCTCGGTATTTTGTGTCAATAAACACTCCACCCGCTCCACTCGCCAAGATGGAGAAATGTTAATTACCACGTTTGGAAAACAAGAGGTCGTCGTGGGTTCGATCCTGATCCTGATGCCTGAATATGTGGAGTTTGTATGTTATCCCTGTGGTCATGTGTATTTTTCTCCGGGTCGTCCGGTTTTCCCCTCCACATTTAGAAACAAGCGTTTATAGAGTGTTTGGCTGCTATACATGTACATATAATAAGCCACTTCGTTGAGCTATCATTTGTGGCCAGGTCACTTCTGAAAAGGAGATATATAGCTCAGTGGGCCTTACCTGGGAAAATACAACGTAGTTTAGATTACCCATAAAGAAGGCTGTCCTGGCGTAGGCCGATCAATTTCAAATACAATGCATATAATATCAGAGCATATTTGTATGTATGTTTTGCCACAAGTATGGGTGGTTAATGCAGACTTGATGATGCCTTGCAATAGGTTTCTATTTGGTGTTTGAACATCTTTACACCTTCTGTTTAATTGCCAGAAAGGTTAAAGCCTTTTCTTATGTTTTCATCGTTTAGTATTAGTTTTTGAGATTGATGGGGCAGTTCTGAAGAGAGTGGCGAGGTTTCCATACTTGGGCAGTGTGATTATGATCCGCTCCGATTCAACAGGTCTCACTCCGAATCGGTCGAGTGACCTTACTTTATCATCAGCTGTGTAATTCTGTGTGGAAGCCACCTGGCCTGTCAGTCCACAGGAAGCTTCCGGTTGTCCAGGTCAGAGTCATGCCCTCCCTTCGGTAAGCTTGTAAAACGTGGAGCCCTGTAAAGGGTGAAGATCTGTGCCGGTTAGAAATATTCAGGCTGGACTGCCTGCGATCCATCCTGGGTTTAACCTCCAGGCTGGATTGTGAAGAGCTCACAAATCCTCGAAAGACCTGGACACTACCATCTGTGAGCTCCTCCGACAGGCAAGGCTGCGTTGGCTGGGTCATGTAGCCAGCATGCCCAGCCAACGCATGCCCAATCAGTTTCTGTTTGGCCGAATAGAAGGGCTAAATGTGCGTGGCACGGGCTAGAGAAGATATGGACTGATGTGGTACAGAAGGATGTAGAGCAGAGTGGACTTGCAAATCACTGGTACCAGCAGTGTTAAGATCGGCCTCTTTGGATGAGGCTCGTGAAGGACGCTACTGGGGAGTTGGAAGCAGTCGCCCTCCAACAACAACGGAGGACAGAGGAGCGATGCTGATGCACACCAAGTTGGCACAGTTGGTGCATCTGCCAGTCATCTCAGACAGTCAACCCATGGCACCTGCTGGGTCTATCCAGTGATCTCCTTTAGCAAGCCTTCAACACTTCACGTGGCCTTGGAGTGTGTGGTTAAGATTATTTAGATTAGTTTGCTGCTATAAATTTGCACATGATAAGCCACATCGTTGAGTTATTTTTTGTGGCCAGGTCACTTCTGAAAAATAAGTTAATGCCTCAGTGGGCTTTGCCTGGTAGGATGGGGGTGGATTCGTTGTATGTGTAGGTGTTTGGGTGATTTGTTTACCTTTCCTTGTACTTTGAACTACTATAGTGTTTGTGTGTTGTGTGTGTTGTTGTAACGTTTTATATCCCGTGATAAGAACGTTACATCTGTGAAAAAAACTGCTTTGTAACTCATCAGATTCCTCCTGCAGTATAAATAAATATTCCGATTATGATTCTGGGGGAGCGGTCGTGCAGTGAATACCAACGCGCTGTACTCCATACTACAACCCCAGATCCGAGTTCGATTCCCGTTCACGGCTACCACCACCATCGGTGATTATCACCTGAACCGGTCCTGGGCCTCCCCCAGGTCGACTCAGCCTCAAATGAGTACCTGGTGCGGTGTGTAAAGTGCTGTTAGTGAGTAGCAGCGCCTATGAAAGCCGGTGCTGTGGCACACGAGGGATGGGTGGCCAAAACCGCGCCCCGGCCACTGCACCAGGTACTAATTGTTTTGGCTGAGCGGACCTAGGGGAGGCCCAGGTCCGATTCAGATAATCGCTATCACTGGTGGTAGTGGCCATGAGTGGGAATCGAACTCGGGTCACTGGGTTCGTAGTGGAGCGCACAAACCGCTTACACTACCGCTTAAGCATACATACACACATACGCAGCAAAATAATCCGAAATAAGTATAACCCGTAAAAACTAAGTTTTTCACTATAAATCATTTATATGCGTGGCGGCTAGAGTCCTCTCGTCCTCTGGCTTGAGATGGCTGCCACCTATGGATTTGATGATTGCATTGCACCATTAAGCAATTGGTAATTAAATATAATATTTTTGTCCTAAAAAGTGTAAAATTTTGGAAAAAAATTTCACGAACATTAATTGTCACGCACAACGAGTCTGTGTGGAAAATGTCAGCTCGATTGGATCACGGGAAGTGGGTTAAAAAACGACCGAAAGATTTGCACGGTCCAAAGCAAGCAAGCGAACTTAATATAAAGGATTTAAAAATCCGTATGCCAGAGCCCAGGGGGACAGGTGTATATGACATACCGTGGTGAAACCCCATCTGGTTAATATTTAACTCAGGATTACAGCTGTAAATGGACCCGGCACAAATAACACTCGAACTCTGCCCTACCCCAAACACTAACCCAAGCCCTAACCCGCACCTCCGATTAGCACGGTTGGCTACGTACACCAACAAACGCGATACAAAGAACGTACATACGTGCATGCCCCTATTCTACTCCTTTTCTATCCCTAACCTACCTCTATCATATCCATACTCGACTCCTACCCTACCCCTAGCCTTACCCCTTCCATACCTTTACCCCTATGCTACCCCTACCCCAACTTTACCCCTACCCTATCCATAATCTAACCCTTACCCTACCCCTACCACTAAATCAAGCACAACGCTTGTTTGGCGCAGTGGTAACATTTGTGGCCTTTGAACACCGGCTGCCCGGGCTCGAATCCCACTCTTTTGGACACTACGTGATTGTGATATGTTAACTACCTTGCTTGGTATACAGAAAGTGGTGGGTTCGATCCCGACCCTGACACCTGCTGTATAGTTGTAGTTTAAGGTGTCTCTCTCTCCCCATGGTCGTGTAGATTTGTGTCCAGGTCCTCCGGCTGCTATATATGCCCACATGATATGCCAATTCTTTGAGCAGCTATCAGGTCGCTTCTGAAAAATAGTTACATAGCTCAGTGAGGCCGTACCTGGTGAAATAAAAAAAAGTTTAAATCAGAATCGTTATGTATCTTGGAGGAAGAAATCCGATGAGCTATGAAACTCTTGATTTCCACAGACGTCCTATCGGGACAGGGGGGTAGTTACACCAACAAACGCGATAAAAAGAACGACATAAGAAGAGCAAGATGAGCGATAGGTATCGAGAAGCGAGAAAATAACTAAATCAAGACAAATACAGGGGACTCTCGATTATCCACGTGTGGTTTATCCGATTTCCGGACTAACCACGCACCTGAGATTTCGACATAAATTAATAACTCATGGATCTTCCCTTCAGCCCAAATTAATAAGCTAAAAACATTGTTACACGTTGTTATTCTGGGAAATGTGTATTAGAAGTCACATGGTGCTTAAAGCGAACAAATGTGTTGCTACAGCTAATCCGAAACCCACGAGATCGCCTCCACAGTACAGTAGTTGCAATATCTTTACAACAGTGGGGCGGAGTTTGATGGATGTTGATTGGCGTGGCTCTGCTTCTATCATCCACTCAGTGGGCCGAGTCTTCTGCAGGGCGGGGGTCAAGAAAGTGTTATTATCACTGATCGGTCAATTGTCAGTTTTCGTTTTAAGAGATCCGCGATATTTGAATTATCCGCGGCCATCCTCCCCGCCATTTTAGTGGATAATTGAGGGTCGACTGTACATTTTATTTAAGACCGAAACGGAAAGCCTTATTCACCATTCTGGATAATCACCCTGATGAAGCTGCAGGTTGTTATTGTTGTTCTTCTTCTTATCTAATCTAGGATTTTATATTGCGCTTTTGTCAGAGCACTTTACAAGAATAAAAAATTGTATATTTTTCGATTTAAAGCTTTCGTGACTGCAGGGATTCATCTTCTTGGTTCTTTCGGTAAAGTCACGTAGAAGGGAAGTAATAAAATAATAAAAATAAAACATAATAAAATAATTCTCACGACGTTTCGGCCACAACGCAAGCAGCCGTCCTCCCCGACAGACCTGGTCTTCACCTGAGAATTATTTTATTATGTTTTATTTTTATTATTTTATTACTTGCCTTCTACGTGACTTTACCGAAAGAACCAAGAAGATGAATTGTATATTTGTTATTGGCTGATGGGGGAAACGGATGCGATTTTATTGTTAGGGAGGGGAAGGTTTGACAAGGAAGGGTGATGATAGGGAGAGGGAGAGAGAGGGATGAGGTTAGGAGGTGAGAAGGGGGAGTATGGTAAGGAAGGGTGGTGATAGGGAAAGGGAGGGCTAGCGCGGTTAGAAAGGCAAAGAATGGTTAAGGTTTTAAGGACGAGAATATGCTATTGAGATGAGATATAAGGGAGGAACTAAAACTGATGAGTGAAGTTGCCTGTTTGACGTGGAGTGGGAGTTTATTCCATGGAGGGGAGCCAGGAGGGCAAAGAAGCGGAAACGTGACTGAGCATCGGGAGGGGGGTGGGGAGCGTAGTGTTCTTGTAATCACCAGTAAAACGTCACAATTATTGGAATGTGTAAAATGTTGGTGTGAGTTTAACTCTCCAACACACAACAACCAGTTTCGTGCCGAACTAGTAAACTAGTTAGCACCACGTTTTGTTTACGTGACAAACCTTTATCGATTGGCTGTGTCGGGTGGTGGTTGTGGCGGCGTTTAACGACACATTTACACAGGGTGCTTAAAAAAAATGTGAACACTTCCGAGAATTTGCAACAATACCACGAGAAATGTGCCTCGAGGCTCTGGCGACCACCTTGAGAATATTCCAGGCATGTGTTGACAATGATGGCGAACAAGTGGAGACTTTGACTTTTTGAAGCTATTAACATACATTTGTTATCATGTTACAGTATATTATCTGTTCTTTTTCAATTAAAAACGATAGTCCCATGTAACTGTTAAGATGTTCTTAACTGTTAAGATGTTCTTAACAGTTATAAGAAAATATGCGTTTACGAAATCTAATTGAAAAAAAGCAATTCGTATGGATATTGATCTCTAAAGCCCTACTACGCATTTAAACAAATAAATAAACTATTGATAAAAGATTGAAGTACAAATTGCACGAGTAAATGCCTTCCTGCAAATTCGCCGTACCCCAAGTGCAAGCTTGCGGCACGGCAGCAAAAGAACAACAGCAGCACCAGACCACACCAAGACAAACAACACACAAGTCCCTCGATGGAATGCATTGCACTTTGAACTTTAACGATCGACGACACAGGGGTTGAGGTTCAAGATACCAAATAGCTGCTGTATCGCGCACTTATTCTCTGTTTCGGGGATTAAAATTGTTTAAGGAATATTTACGATGTTTAGGGAGGTAACTAGGTTGTTCCAAAACGTTGGTACTGGCATTGACTTTTTAACGTGATCTAACCCCTCCCCCTCCAAAAAAAATGCTTTATTACGAATAATAATATTGGTCGCTAAACCTTACTTATAACTGACTTTGTCACCCATTCCAATTTGTGTTCTAGGGATAGTCAAAGGGCAATTAGATGGACGTCTTCGGTTTGACAATGGGGTTAATGAATTAGCTAAGTATATAGTGCAGATTTGCCGAGAAGTATTTTATGGATTAACAGGGCCCAATGTAAAATTCTTGTTCCATCAAGTGATATGAGATTGGATTTTAAGTAAAGGTCACATTAGTGGGTCCTGTATGGCACATCCAGTGAACATCGAAGATCATAATGATCAAAGTGGGTTTAGTCTGTTTAATAATTCATTCGTAGCTGATTGGTGTCACAGTAGTCAATCAGTGGGAGAATGACAGCTTCCACAATTTGCAGGTGCAATCGAATGGGAAAACTGTACAGTATTTGTTTCTGTATAGAAACCCTATTTTTTTTAGACAACATTGGGAAGCCCTGTAAGATTTGATTCAGTAAACCCAAGCATTTGAAGCACTCTGTTTGTTCAATGATGTGGTGTATGATATCTGTAATAGGGGAGATGCAATGATACCGGATTTTGGTTTGAAGGAGCACGATCTTGGAGTTTATTTTTGGGATTCAATTGCCCCCGTTAATTCAGGAGCAATGGTCGTGATGACAATTGACATGGCATTAAGTAGAAATCGTGTGGGAGATTTTGTTTGACTTCGTATAAAGATTTGCCCGAGACGAGCATAACAATGCCAAAACTCTGTACCTTTTGAGAATGGCCTGATAGGTAACTCTCAAACCAGTTTATTGTACCGTATGAACGTTTCATTTGACCGCGGGTAGAATATCATGGTTAACAATATCAAAGGCTTTTGACAGGTCTAGGAATATTGCATAACAGTAGCGGACTTTATCTGGTTCTGATGATGATGTTGATGATGATATAGATTATGTTGATGATGATGTTTATGATGTTAATGATGATAGTGATAATGGATGATGTTGATGATGATATTCATGATGATAGTAATGATAATGATGTTGTTCATCACCACCAGAGCTCTGACAATGGTGAAGATGAAGATGATGGTGGTGGTGGTGGTTATGATCAACACATTGGTAATGATGTGACAGGATAAATGCATATGTGGGTGGGTGGATGGGTGAGTGAGTGGGTGAGTGAGTGAGTGTGTGCGTGGGTGACACGGACTGGAGAAAAGATAGTCTAACGCTATACAGGAGGATGTGGAGCTGAGCGGACTTCCCAATGACTGGTACCAGCGGTGTCAAGATCACTCTCTATGGAGGAAGCTTGTGAAGGACGCTATTGGGCAGTTGTAGGCAGGCGCCCTCCAGCAACAACGGAGGGCAGAGGAGTGACGCTCACAACAACGAGCGGAGCACCAGGAAGCTAAAACGCAGAGAGTTGGCACAGGTGGTGCATCTGCCAATCATCTCAACTAATTCAATACCGTGACCTGCCAGCGAGTCTATTAAACTTCACGTTGTCTCAAATTGCACATATCTGGGCACAAACACTCTCGTGACGGAACCTCCACTTAGTGGGAAATTTATGTTTTTGTTGTTGGTTGAGTAAGTGGGTGTGTGGGTGAGTGAGTGGGTGGTTGGGTCAGTCGGTGGGTAGGTGAGTGGGTGGGTGGGTAAGTGAGTGAGTGGGTTAGTGGGTGGGTAAGCGAGTGGGTGAGTGAGTGAATGGGTATGTGAGTGGGTGGGTCAGTGGATGGTTGGGTATGTGGATGAGTGGGTGTGTGAGTGGGTGGGTGAGTGGGTGAGTATGTGAGTAGGTGAGTGAGTGGGTGAGTGAGTAGGTGAGTAAGTGGGTGAAATAATTGGTGAGTCAGTGAGTGCGTGCGTGCGTGGGTGGGTGTATGGGTAGGTGTATGAGTGAGTGGGTGGTGGAGTGGGTGAGATAATGGGTATGTGTGCGACTGCATAGGTGGGAAAGTTGCGTGATTGAGTGGGTGGGTGAGTCAGTGATTGAGTGGGTGATTGAGTGGGTGAGTGGGTGATTAAATTGGTGAGTTTGTGAGTGGGTTATTTGGTGGGTGAGACAGTGACTGAGTGGGTGAGTGAGTGAATGGGTGAGTGGATAAGTGGGTTAGTGATTGAGTGGGTGGGTGAGTCAGTGATTGAGTGGGTGATTGAGTGGGTGATTGAGTGGGTGGGTGAGTCAGTGATTGAGTGGGTGATTGAGTGGGTGAATGGGTGATTAAATTGGTGAGTTTGTGAGTGGGTGATTTGGTGGGTGAGACAGTGACTGAGTGGGTGAGTGATTGAGTGGGTGGGTGTGTGAGTGAGTGGGTGATTGAGTGGGTGAGCATGTGAGTGGGTGGGTGAGTTAGTGATTGAGTGGGTGAGTGTGTGAGTGAGTGATTGAGTGGGTGAGCATGTGAGTGGGTGGGTGAGCATGTGAGTGGGTGGGTGAGTTAGTGATTGAGTGGGTGGGTGAGTGGGTGATTGGGTGAGTTAGTGATTGAGTGGGTGAGTGAGTGGGTGAGTGAGTGGGTGAGTGAGTGGGTGAGTGAGTGGGTGATTGGGTGAGTGAGTGGGTGGGTGGGTGAGTGGGTGTATCACTTTCTCTCCCCACAGGCCAAAATCTGCCCTGGAGGCGCAACCACCTTCTCTCCGTCCTGGTACACGGCCAACTCCACCAATTGGACCTCTGCCCCCACAGATTCGCATACCCCAACCGCTTACGTGGCCCCTGCCAACAGCAGCAACAGCTGTATATCGGTCAGTGCTCTGGGTGTAGTGTTGAGTGTATGGATCTCAGTGTTGAGTCGATGGGCAGTGTTGAATATATGAGCAGTGTTGAGTCCATGGGTCTCAGTGTTGAGTCTACGGTACACACAGTGTTGAGTCTACGGGCCGGATTGAATCTATGGGTGGCAGTGTTGAGTATATAGGCAGTGGAGAATCCATGGGCAGTGTTGAGTATATGGGTCTCAGTGTAGAATCCATGGGCAGTGTTGAGTATATGGGTCTCAATGTTGAGTCTATGGTGCAGTGTTGAGTTTGTAGGTCTCAGTGCTAAGTCTGTGTGGCCTCCAGCTGCTGCCGCTGGGCCTGGGTCTGGGCCTTGGATTGGGGCTGCCACTGCTGGCTGTGAGCTCCGTGCTCTGCTATCTTCTCCTGCGTGGCCGGTGTGCACGCATAACCTCCAAGCCCCCTCCTGTGAGAGTCACGCACTCATCCGCCCACTCACCCGCCCACTCACCCGGCCGTCTGGAACGCTCTTCCTTCCGATATTAGAAAGCCACTGGAGCTATTCACTTTCACATCTCGAGTGAAAACTAATTTCTTTAGAACTGCGTATATCTACGTACGGTGCCAAAGACGTTCAACACACATACATGCATTACCAATCACGCAGTCAGCCACAAACTCAACTATCCACCACCACCTCCACCACCCCAGCCTGGCAATGGGAGGCCAGGCTGCCAGGCTGTATCCTACTTGCTGTAGCTTAACATTTCCACCCCCCCACTTCCTACAGGAGGAGGAAGGACAAGAGGCGACCCACGAAAAAGTCAGATACGTCGCAAGGACACAGAGCAGCGGTTCCCAGGTGGTCTATGAAGCTCTGCATGTTCTTGGACAAATATACCTGCGGACCCGACTGATCTGTCATAGGGGCCGTCCATAAATGACGTCATGCACCTAGGGGGGGGGGGTCAGACATTTGTGACGATGTGTGACGAGGGGGGGGGAGTTGAGAAATGTGACGTCACATGGAAATGCGCAACTCTAAATAAATATAGACACGTTCTACTTAATTAAATAGACTTGTTAATAAATGTTTTCTCCTACAACATCAGAGTGCAGCGCCACATTAAATACGCACTACAATGACAATAGTTTAAAGCGATTTGAAGCATGTTTTTTTTTTGGGGGGGGGGGGCAGAGCTTTGTGACGTCATATTTGAGGGGGGGTCTGACTTTTTGTGATGCCGTGTGACGAGGGGGTCAAAAATCGTCCAAAATCGCGTGACGTCATTTATAGAGGGCCCCATGCGATTTATCCACTACGCTCTGCAGAGCAGGACCTCCTCTCCCCCAGCCTCGGCTCTTGCGCTCGACGCTGGGGGGGGGGGGGGGGGGTGTCACGCCTTCTCAAGTGTTGCCCAAAGGATCTGGAATGCCTCGCCGGTTGTGATCCGGCACACGAACGAGTTATCAGTGTGTTAAATTTCGATTTAAAGCTTTCGTGACTGCAGGGATTCATCTTCTTGGTTGTTTCGGTAAAGTCACGTAGAAGGGAAATAATAAAATAATAATAATAAATGTAACATAATAAAATAATTCTCACGACGTTTCGGTCACAACGCAAGCAGCCGTCCTGAGGTGAAGAACAGGTCTGCCGGAAAGACATTCAGACGCTGTCTTCCCGACAGACCTGTGGAAGACAGCGTCTGAATGTCTTTCTGGCAGACCTGTTCTTCACCTCAGGACGGCTGCTTGCGTTGTGGCTGAAACGTCGTGAGAATTATTTTATTATGTTTAATTGTTTTTCCCTTATCAGTGTGTGTTTAGGAGGGAGTGCGACACTCACTATTTTCTCATTGGCTTTTACTTGAACGTAATTTTATTGTCTTTGCATTTCATTTCAGTGTACAATGTTTTGATACCCCCCTTGAGTGGAGGTGATGTTACATTCAAAATAAATACAGTGTTAAGGTGAGAGAACACCACACACTAGGCCACGTACAAAGCTCCCCCACAGGCTTCTCCTCCTGACATGAAACTAAAATAAACTAATTAATTTTTATTTTACCAGGTAAGGCCCACTGAGCTGTGTAGCTCTTCTTCAGAAGCCACCTGGCCATCACGAACGACAGCAGCTCAAACAAGTGGCTGCAATCGTCACGAAGAAATGTACAGCAGCGGCCAAATACTCTTGAACGTATGGTGACATCGATTCTAAACATTTCTTTCTCACCCCCTCCACCTCCACCCCCCCTCTTCAGGTTTCGCCAACGAGTGACTACATGGACCCATCAGACGAGGACTATGCGAACCCAGATCAGCCGCAGGTGAATGAGGATGACGATAACTACGACGACATCCTCCCGTACAGACCGGGCAGTGCCACCGTCCTCCCAAATCGTGGAGTTCAGGGCTTGAAGCCTGAAACCTCATCCTCCCCCCAGGACTTCCAACCAGTAGCAGCCCCCCGAGTCAAGCGACACGACCACAACACAGGATTACAGCAGCAGCCGCAGCTGCCGCCACGTCCACCCAAACCTGAGGCTGATCAACCTCTGGGATCCGTGGCCTCAAAGTCCCAGCCTCCTCCGCCGGCGAGAGCTCCAGGCCACGGGCTTCGACAGGTCCCAGATTCGGCTTCCAAACCTCTGCGATCGGGAGCGCTGCCACTCCGACTTCCACCGCAACAAGGGGGTCTTCCAGGATTGAGGGCTCCATCTCCTGCAGCTCAAGGTTACAGACCCCCAGCTTCTCATCTTCCACCGTTGCGAGGTCCAGGCACAGAAGTTGCAGGCTTCGGAGGTCCATCTCGCGAGGGCCAAGGCCCTGGATCTACGGGTTGCAATATCCAGAATCAAGGCCCCTCGGCCGATGGGCCCAGGCGTCCGAAGAGCGCACTATTTCCTCCACAACCCCACGGGGGTCGCAACAAGGGCGTTCAAGAGATGGACTCCGTTTATGAAATTTCCCCACCCTGAGAATGGCACTTACCCCCCCCCCCTCGCAGCCTGTGTGGGCTACCTGGGGGGGGGTTACCTTTTATACGCGTGCATACGTCCGTTGGAACACAGCAAGTTGCTAGCGGGCCTTCAACAATTCACGTGGCCTTAAAGGGCACATAGCATGACACAAGTGCCGTGGTGACATCACCGCCACCTAGTGGCGAATGGCAGTTGTTGTTGCTGTTGTGTACGTGCGAGCGATAGTGTAGCGGATTAGCGCTACAGTGCTACGAACCCAGCGAACCAAGTTCGATTCCTGCTCACGGCCACCAACACCAGTGATAGCGATTATCTGAACTGATCATGGGCCTCCACCTAAGTCAACTCAGTCTCAAATGAGTACTGGGTGTGGTGTGTAAACATTCACCACTGAGGAGACAAAGGCGGCCGGGCATAGTGTTGGCGACCAACCCCTCGTGTGCCGTGTCGGCCTTCATAGTTGCTCGCTAACAGAACTTGCGCCAACAGTCTATTAGGGGGGTCTTTGTCTTTATATTTGTGTACGTGTGATGAGAGCAAGGAATTGTAATGGTTGAGTTCCTGATGCTATACACCCTGATCCCCTAAGTCCAACCCTGACCCCCTAAAACTCTCAAGAGACCCAGACTCACATAGAGACCCACAGAGTCGCAGATATACCCAGAGACCCAGACTCAGAGACCGATATAATCAGAGACCTACATACTCGCAGATACCCATAGACTCACTTAGAAACCCATATAATCAGACCTACAGACTCTCAGACTCAGAGACACATATGCTCTCAGAGACATATATACTCCAAGAGAGACCTACAGAATCAAGACACCTATAGACTCGTATAGAGACCCAGAGACTCACAGAGACCCATAGACGCTCATAGAGACCCACAGACTCACATAGAGACTCTTTGAGTACTCGGTGGCTGAGTGACGACATTGGAGGTAAACAACACAGTGGAGCAGCGTTCAGGGTGGAGTTTTTTTTATTGGATCGCGATTTTTGCTGATTGTACAAAAATAAACACTGCTGGCAGAACAAGACGTCACTCATACACTCCGCGCGGTAGTAATTGTGGTGGTGGTGGTGACGATGCTTACGGTAATGGTTTTGGTACAGCAGTAAATGCACCGCACTACGAACCCGGCAGAGACCCGGGTTCGAAGCCCACTCACGGCCACCAACACCAGTGATCGCGATTATCTGAAACGGCTCTGGGCCTCCCCTAAGCCGACTCGGCCTCAAAATGAGTGCCTGGTCCAGTGTGAAAACATCGGCACTAGGGAGACATAGGCGGCCGGGCGTGGTGCTGGCCACTCACCCCCTCGTGTGCACAGTGCCAGCCTTCATAGGCGCTCGCATACAGTGTTTTCCAGGCTACACGGGGTTCTTTCGTCGCGTTGGTAGTATTTGTGATGGAAAGGATGGTGGCTCCATCGAGAATCTGCCAAAAAAAACTGCCAACACCCCTCCACCTCTCCACCCACCCATTCCCTCACCCCTCCATCTCCTCCCTACCCACCCCTCCACCTCCCCACACACCAACCACCACCTCGTCCACCTTGTCAATTCAAGGTCAAACGATCTAAGAATCATCATCACCGCCACCGCTGGCTCCGTTATCTTCGGGACGATGTTCTGGATCCCTCTCCTGCCCTTCATCATCACTGCCACCTTCACCACCACTACCCTCCTCGTCGTCGTCATCCCCGTCCACCTCTTCGTCCAAGGAGAAGATGTAGTTGCTCAGGTCCACCTCATCAATGTCAGCCTGCGGTGATGCTGGAGAGGTTGAGGATGGCGATGACGACGATGGCGATGACGGCGATGATGAAGATGGAGAGGAAGATGTTGATGAAGATGGTGATGATGATCTTGATGATGATGACGACGACGTGGCTGAATTCTCAACGTCTTCGTCGTAAACCTGAGCACCGTGGAAAATGAAGCGACTCGGAGGGATGAAGAGGAACTCGTCTTCTGTGTGGGGAAAATGGGGGTGACAAGGTGGAGGGAAGAGGTGGGGTGAAGAGATGGTGTGAGGTTTGGAAGAGGGGAGGGGAAGATGTGATGTTAAAGAGATGGCACTGCTAAAGCAATCATCATCACCACCACCATCATATCACATCAAACAAAGATCCCCTTAATTTGGAACTTTCGTGACTGCAGGAATTGCTCTTTGGTTCTTTTGGTAAAGTCAAGTATAAAGAGAAAATAATAAATTAAATTTGCATTCTCAGGAAGAACGTAATCAACCAGGTAGGGTGTTGACTGTTATGGTATCCGACTCTCTGTTGTATTACATTACATTTCTAAGTATACTAGATTTGTGTTTCTATTTCATTTATACCTGATGATGATTGCTTGTGTTGCAATCGAAACGTCGTATGCTAGTATTTAATTTATTATTTTCTCTTTATACGTGACTTTACCGAAAGAACCAAAGAGTAAAGATCCCCTTAACAGACTGTAGGGGCAAGTGCCGTTAGCGAGTAGCACGTATGAAGGCCGGAACTGTGGCACATGCACGATGGGGGTGGAGTGCCAGTACCACACCCAGCCACCTTTCTCTCCCCAGTGGTGATGTTTACACACCACACCAGGTGCTCATTTGAGGCCGATTCCACCTGGGGGAATCAAACTCGGGTTGCCGGGTTCGTAGTGCAGCGTAGCGCCAACAGATACACTACAGCTCCCCCCATCATCACATCATACACATCACCATCATCACCACCACAATTATCAGCAACATAACCACAATCGTAATCGGCATCCAACCCAGGATGGATCAGAGGCAGGCCAGGCTATATGTTTCTCCTTCAGAGGGATCCACATTTTGCAAGCATAGAGAAAGGGAGGGCATAACTGAGGCCAATAAAATCCAGAGCTTCGTGTGGAGCGACAGACCGGGTAGTTTCCACGGAGCATTACGCAGCTAAATAAAAAGACATTGCCGCTCAGCTGATTCCGAGTCTGGTCATAAACACACTGCCCAACTCAGTGACTCTCTCCACAACTGCCCCATCACTCATGGGGAATTTAGCGCGTGAAGTGTTTTATGACAAAAATTACCCAGGCAGGAGCTTAGTTTTTGGCGGGCTCATGGTAAGGCTCCACCTCTTAGTGGCACGCTCTAGGTTCAGCAGCAACTCCTCCTCCGAGTGAACAGCAATCACCAGATCAACAGCAAACATAACATGGTTGAACAATAGGGAGCCACCCCGTGACCAGACACGGGCATCGATCAGCCTCCCATTGTATCTGTACCAGATGGAAATTCCTCCTTCTCGAACCACGTGGTCGAAACAAATATAAAATAATGTAGGAGCCAGAGGACATCCCTGTCTTACCCACTGGCAGAGCCAATGGGGGGGGGGGGGGGTGGCAAGGCGATGTTGAATAATCCTTGCCATGCCCGTGTAGTTGTTACAGTCCGTGCAGTTCCCCTTCTTAAATAGGGGTCCAACAGGGCATCTTTGCAATCCTGAGGAACCTGTCCAGCCAGTTGTAATGATGTAATATAGGGCAGTCTGCAAACGCCAGCCTCCCTCAGCAGTTTTCTTGGGCAATCATCTCTGCCCAGTGCTTTTCCTGGTCAGACTCTGGACCGCTTTCTGTACTTCCTCAACAGATGGCACCTCGACAAACACTCACAGGGTTTGGTTACTTCCTCCAATATTTGAGCCATGGCAGTCCTAGCAGGGTCAACCCTTCCTTTCCCCAAGATGTTATCTGGGATGAGGGATTTCCCCTCAGCCAAGACCTCACAGAAATGATCAGAAAACCTGCAAACCTGTTCCTGGGGGTCAGAGATCGGTTGACCATCCTATCCCTTAAGGATGCCGATAGGTGCGTTAAAAAGTGATTTGTGACCGTGAGCTGAGGCAGATTTCATTTCCTCAGCAATCCGCATCTGCTTTTCTGTCACTATATAGGCCTACTGTTGTTATTGAGCTGATCTGGCCCATACTTTCACTCCAGTCACTCCAGCCCAGATGCCTGTGTTATGACCCACTCGGGCATTAAAGTCCACCTTCTATCACGAGGGGCTACTTTAGCGAGAACATCTGACAGGTCATAGAAGGTATCCCTGCCTGCATCCATCCACTGATGTTCATCTTCAGTGGGGGGCATAAACAACCACCACCACCATTCCTCACCTTCCATTAATGGGGAGGAGAGTCCACAGTAGCCTGGGGCTCACAGCTTCCCACACCTCACTGCCACGCTTCCACGTCCCCTTCATTCTTTTGTTCAGAAGACCCACTCCCTGTTGTTTAGCAGTCTCCTGCTCCGAATGGAGGACTGTCCAACGCCATGGTGACTACAGCCAGAACCAGTCCACCGGACCCTCCTGCATTCCACAGAGATCCAGTCGGTACTGGACTAGCTCCTGAATAGCAGCAGCCTTTCCTCTGCAGTTAATCGCTCAGTGGACTTCGCCTGGTAAGATGAAAACAATCTTGATTTGAAGCTTTCGTGACTGCAGGAATCCATACTCTTTGGTTCTTTTGGGAAAGTCACATGGGTAGATAAATAATAGATCACAATTTTTTTTCTCAAAATTATTTTTCTACAGACGTGACTTTACCCAAAGAACCAAAGATGAAAACAGTTTAATTTCAGTTTAAGTGATTTGTTTACCTTTTCTAGGCTTCCATCGTGTTTCTCTATTGTTTGTTGTTGAAACATTCTGACCCGCTCCAATTGGACATCTGGGAAACGGAGCTGTAAAGCTCATCGCATTCCTCCAGCATAAATATAGATTCTCACTCCAAGTGGCCACCCTCAGTAGTTTCCTCTTGTTTGTGGACGAACCCTAAGGGAGTGGGGCGATCCTTCTCCTGGCTCCGCCAAATGTGGTTTGGCCAGGAGACGTCATGGATACCTGTGCCCCCGCGGCCTCTGGCACAGGCTTAGTTTGGATCTTTTCTCTGTGGTTTCAGCAGTGATTGAGTTGAAGGTGGCGGGGGTCACCAGCCCTTCGAATGATGTCGGCCTCCCTCCAATGGCAGTGCTCACAGCCACCACAGCGTTACTGATCAGCAACCAACACCACCATCACAGCGTCACCACCAACACCGCACCTCCAATTACCACAGTTGGCTATGTACGGTGCAAAAAAAAGTTCAACATATACACACATCCATACACCACAACTACAGAGTTACTGACCAACAACCACGACCACCACAGCGTCACCGAGAGTCAACCATCACCATCATGACCACCACCACCACAGGGTCACTGACAGTCAACCACCATCACCGACAGTGAACCACCACAGCACCACCGACCGGCAACTCAGACACACCAAAATCAGACCGGGGTGGACTGTGTCGATGATGGTACCTTTGAGCCGCTTGCCGATTGGCTCTCTCGTATCGGCCTCCCAGAATGCAGCGGGCTGGGGGCGCCCCCCTCCCAGCACGGCCGCCCCCTTCCCGTGAGCCTCTGACCCTTGCCCCCTCTTCCCACAATGCACCGGGGCGGCAGCACCACCCCCACTCCTCCTTCTCCTCCTCCACCGTCTCCGGCTCATCATGGCCGCCGCTTCCCTCGCCCCGGCCTCGGCCATTGCTTCCTCCGTCGCTTCCATCGCCGCTTCCAACATCGCACTCCTCGCGGCCTTCACCACCCTTGCTTCTCCTGCTTCTCCTTCTCCCCCTGCTTCTCCTGCTTCTCCCCTTGCTTCTCCTGCTTCTCCCCCTGCTCCTGCTTCTCCCCCTGCTTCTTCTCTTGCTTCTCCGCCTGCTTCTCCCCCTGCCTCTCCCCTTGCTTCGCCTGCTTCTCCGCCTGCTTCTCCCCTTACCTCTCCTCCTGCTTCTCCCCTTGCTGCTCCTGCTTCACCCCCTGCTTCTCCCCTTACCTCTCCCCCTGCTTCTCCCCCTGCTTCTCCCCCTGCTTTTCCTGCTTCTCCCCTTGCTGCTCCTGCTTCTCCTTCTTCTTTTCCTGCTTCCCCCCTTGCTTCTCCTTCTCCACTTGCTTCTCCCCCTACTTCTCCTCCTGCTTCCCCCCCTGCTTCTCCTGTCACTGATCCTCCCCTTGTGTCTCCTGCTCGTCCCACTCCTCCCCCCACTCTCCTCCGCGCTGCCATCGCTTCTCTCGCTATCCTGGCTTCTCTGTATGCTTCCATCGCTTCCCTACGCACCTCCCCCCTTGCTTCTTCCTCTGCTTCGGTTGCTTCCCTCCGTGTTTCTATGGCATCTCGCCATGCTTCTGTTGCTCCCTCTCTCGCATTCCTCTTCGCTTCTGCCAATTCTCTCGCTTCCCTCGCTTCTCTGTACGCTTCCACTGCTCCTCCCCTTGTGTCCGCTTCTTCGGTCCTCGCTTCTCCACTCGATTCTGTCGCTTCTCCCCTCGATTCTGTCGCTCCTCCCCTCGATTCCGTCGCTTCTCTCCTCGATTCTGTCGCTTCTCCCCTCGATTCTCTCGCTTCTCCAATCGATTCCGCCGCTCCTTTCATTGAGTCTCTCGCTTCTGCTCCCCTTGATTCCCTCGCTTCTCCATTTGCTGCCATCGCTTCTCCCCCCCTCGCGTCTCCACCCCGCCTCGTTCCTCCCCTCAATTCTTTCGCCGCTTCCGCCGCTTCTCCTGCGGCCTCCCCCCTCGCTTGCCCTCCCCCCACCCGCGCTTCTTTGCCTCGCCGCTTCCCCCCACCCACGTGCGTCCGTTGCCAAAGCGTCTGCGCCCCGGGGGGGCAGAGCCGGGCCCAGGCACCCCCCAGACGCAGGCAGAGCTCCCCCACCACGGCGTCACAATCCCCCAGCAGCTCCACGTCGAAGGGGGTGGCCCCAAAATGGGGGAGAGGCTCGCGGTTAATGAGCACGCGGGGCACGCAGGGGGCCAGCCAGCCTGGAACGAGGGGTTGGGGGGGAGGGGGAAGAGTCTCTGTGTGAGTTTCTGTCTGAGTGAGTCTCTGTGCGAGTCTCTCCGTGACTGAGTGAGTCTCTGTGTGAGCCTCTCCGTGACTGAGTGAGTCTCTGTGTGAGCCTCTCCGTGACTGAGTGAGTCTCTGTGTGAGCCTCTCCGTGACTGAGTGAGTCTCTGTGTGAGCCTCTCCGTGACTGAGTGAGTCTCTGTGTGAGCCTCTCCGTGACTGAGTGAGTCTCTGTGTGAGCCTCTCCGTGACTGAGTCAGTCTCTGTGCCAGTCTCTCCGTGACTGAGTGAGTCTCTGTGCGAGTCTCTCCGTGACTGAGTGAGTCTCTGTGTGAGTCTCTCCGTGACTGAGTGAGTCTCTGCCTGAGTGAGTGAGTCTCTGCGTGAGTCTCTGTGTGAGTCTCTGTGTGAGAATGCGAATCTCTCTGTGACTGAGCGTGTCTCTGTGTGACTGAGTGAGTCTCTGCGTGAGTCTCTGCGGGAGTCTCTGTGGTGTGAGTCTGTGAGGTGTGAGTCTGTGAGTCTCTGAGTGAGTCGCCTCTGAGTCTCTGCGCGAGTCTCAGCGTAACTGAGTGAGTCTCTGCGTGAGTCTCTGTGTGAGTGAGTCTCTGCGTGAGTCTCTGCTTGAGTCTCTGCGTGACTGAGCGAGTCTCGGCGTGACTGAGTGAGCCTCTGAGTGAGTCTCTGGGTGAGTGTCTGCTTGAGTCTTTGTGTGACTGAAAGAGTCTGTGTGAGTCTCTGTGCAAATGAGTCTTCGTGACTGACTGAGTCTCTGTGTGCATCTGTTTGAGTGTCTGTGCGAGTGAATCTCTGCGTAAGTCGCTGTCCGAGTCTGTGTGTGACTGATTGAATCTCTGCGTGAGTCTCTGCGTGAGTCTTTGCGCGAGTCTCTGCGTGAGTCAATGTGCGAGTCAATATGCGAGTCTCTGTGTGAGCGAGTATCTGTGTGAGTCTCTGCGCAAGTCTCTATGCGAGTGAGCCTCTGTGTGAGTCTCTGCGTGAATGAGTCTCTGCGTAAATGCGACCCTCTCTGTGCGAGCCTCTGAGTGAGTCTCTTTGTGAGTCTCTGATTTCTTATTGAGTCTGTGAGTCTCTGTGCGAGTCTCTGTGCGAGTATCTGTCCGAGTGTCTGTCCGAGTCTCTGTCCGAGTCTCTGTGTTACTGAGTGAATCTCTGAGTGAGTCTCTGAGTCTCTGAGTGAGTCTCTGAGTGAGTCTCTGAGTGAGTCTGTATCTGTGAGTCTGTGCGAGTGAGTCTCTGTGCAAGCCTCACTGGGTATGAGAGCCACAGGCCTCACTCTCAGTGAGGAGCCCATGGTGAGCAGGAGGTCGGCGCCGCTCTCGCGGTCGCTCCGAACTGCTCGGTGGAATTGGGGGGGAAGATTCTCCCCGAAGAAAATCACCCCGGGCTTGAGCACGGCCCCCCGCTCGGACGGGGGGCACACGGGGCACAAGGGGACCCGCTGAGGAGACACGGAGTAGTGGGGGGCACGTGGGGAGACAGAGACACGGAGCGGGGAGACAGACCTCACGGAGTGGGGAAGCGCGTGGAGAGACAGAGATACGGAGTGGGAGGCACGGGGAGAGGCAGATACACGGAATGGGGGGGGGGGCACAGACATGGAGTGGGGGGGGCATGGGGAGACGGAGACACAGATGGGGGGGGGGGGCAGGGAGACATTTAGAATCAATGTCCCTACGCGTTTAAAGTGTTTGGCTGCTGCAATAAATTTCCACATGATGATGACATTAGCCACTTGTTTGAGCTATCATTTCAGTGGGGCCTTACCTGGTAAAATAAAAAAATAGTTTATAGTTAAGAGGACGCTGTCGCAAGAGGTCACACTTTTGGCGCAACGCTCCTTCACTGACCGTGCGTGGATGAATGAGTGATGGGGGATGGGAGTCTGAGGAATGGAGGGGGGGGTTTGGGGGATGTGGGGGGTGGGGTCTGGGTGGCTTTTGGTGATTGAGGAGTGGAGTCGTAAACACAACAGGGACTGCCAAAATCGTTAATTATCGTGACGAGTTAATCGCAGCGACTCCCCTCTGTACCCCCCCCCAACTACCCCCAGTGTCCCCCCACCAAACCCCCCCCTTGTTCCCCCCCCCCCCACCTGTCTCTCCACGTCGTCGCGGATGTCGTCGCTTGACACTTTGTGTCCACAAACTAGACACGAGGCCCAGTCAAACGAGCCTGAGGCACACGGGGGAGACACGGGGAGACACACGGACATGGGGAGACATGGAGACACGGGGAGACACGGAGACACGGGGTGAGACGGAGACAGTAAAACACAAAGTTAGCCTTTCTCTCCAATCGGCCCATGTCGCCGTGTTTATTTCTCCCCGTGTCTCTCTCTCCATATCCCTCTCCCCATAACTCTGTCTCCCCGGGTCTCTCCCTCTCTCCCCGGGTCTCTCCCTCTCTCCCCGTGTCTCTCTCCCCGTGTCTCTCTCCCCGTGTCTCTCTCCCCGTGTCTCTCTCCCCGTGTCTCTCTCCCCGTGTCTCTCTCCCCGTGTCTCTCTCCCCGTGTCTCTCTCCCAGTGTCTCTCTCCCAGGGTCTCTCTCCCAGGGTCTCTCTCCCAGTGTCTCTCTCCCCGTGTCTCTCTCCCCGTGTCTCTCTCCCCGTGTCTCTCTCCCCGTGTCTCTCTCCCCGTGTCTCTCTCCCCGTGTCTCTCTCCCCGTGTCTCTCTCCCCGTGTCTCTCTCCCCGTGTCTCTCTCCCCGTGTCTCTCTCCCCATGTCTCTCTCGCCCCGTGTCTCTCTGTGTCTCTCACCATGGCACTGAATCACCCGCGTCACGCCGGCCTGCGTCTCCAGGCCGTCGATGTTCTGGCTGTAGTTCCTTAGCAGTTGCCCCTCTTTCTCCAACTGTGCGACGAAACGGTGACTCAGGGAGGGAGAGAAGCGCCCAGGAAACATCTCCTGTGAGAGAGAGAGACGTGTGAGGAGCGACACACAGGGAGAGAAGAGACAATGAGAAAGACACGGAGAGAGAGGGACACGGGGGTAGTCACACGGGGGGAGAGACACGGGGGGAGAGACACGCGGAGAGAGACATGGGGGGAGATACACGGGGTGAGACACGTTTGAGGAGCGACATACAGGGAGAGAACGAGACAATGAGAAAGACACGGAGAGAGAGAGACACGGGGGAGTCACACGGGGGGAGAGACATACGGGGAGAGACAAGCGTAGAGAGACATGGGGGGAGATACACGGGGTGAGACACGTGGGGGGAGCGACACATAGGGAGAGGAGAGAAAGAGACAATGAGAAAGACACGGAGAGAGAGAGACACGGGGGGAGTCACACGGGGAGAGAGACACGCGGGGAGAGAGACATGCGGAGAGAGACATGGGGGGAGATACACGGGGTGAGACACGTGGGGGGAGAGACACTTGCGGAGACACAAGGAGAGACAAGGAGACATGGGAAGAGAGAGGGACACATGGGGAGAGAGACATGGGGGGAGAGATATGTGGGGAGAAAGACAGGGAGACTGAGAAAAACAGGGAGAGGCATGGCGAGAATCAACTAAAGTGCTCAAACACTCACTCACACACTCACTCCATCCCTCTCGCACAGAGACTTCCACACACAGCTAGCGCCACCGCTCCCCCGTGAACTCTGACCCTGGCAAACTTGTAGAAAGGTCGCGGATCGGAGGTGAAGTGCTGGAGGTCGAAGAGAGCCTGGGGGTCACGCAGGTCGGGGAACTCGGCGTGAATCCGGGAGAAGAGGCCGGAGCCGGGAGACCGGAAATCCGGAATGCCACACGAGACTGAGACCTGGGGAGGGTGGTGGGACAGGAGGGAGGGAGGGTTTATTGCTGCCCAGCAGCAAAAGACTTGTACGTATGTCGAAGTAGCCAACTATGCTAATCAGAGGTAGTGTATAGTAGTGTCGTGTATAATAGTGTAGTATATAGTGTTGTGTATAGTAGTGTACTGTATAGTGTGTCTTTGTGTCTTTCTTTTGTCAATTCTTTTGTCAAGGCGCTCTTCCCCCTCCAACCCAGCTTAAATATACGCTCCAAGCCTGGTGGTGTTTCATTCAGACGCTGTCTTTCCGACAGACCTGTTCTTCACCTGAGGACGGCTGCTTGCGTTGTGGCCGAAACGTCGTGAGAATTATTTTATTATGTTTTATTTTCATTATTTTATTATTTCCCTTCGACGTGACTTTACCGAAAGAACCAAGATGAATCCCTGCAGTCACGAAAGCTTTAAATCGAAATTTACTGTATAGTAGTGCAGTACATAGTAGTGTAGTGTATAGTAGTGTATAGTGTTTTGTATAGTTGCGTGTATGTAGAACTTCTTTCACACCGCACGTAGCCAACCGTGCTAATCCGAGGTGCAGAGGGAAGGACAACAAACTAAACAACAAACTAAACAACAACAAGCAGCAGTTCTAAAGAAATTCGGTTGTCAATCGAGATGATGATGATTTAAAAGTGGCAGCAGTGGCTTCCTATTATCGGAAGGGAAGAGCGTTCCAGACGTCCGCAGAAGCGAATTTGAAAGCGCCGCGCGATGATTACGATGCGGTGACCACCGTCTTTGCTCGATGGCCGGCCAGAAAGCCATCAATCTCACCGCCACTGCCACCTCAGCCATCACACACAACACACCCCTACACGGTCTCGAACAATGGCACCTCCCATATTCTGTTCATTCTCTTCTTCCAGTCTACAATTATTCTACAATTTCCCGATACGATTCCTTTCATAAGGTCTCCCACCTGTTACCCGTAGCTCAAAGATTAATTGTAGATTTGCCTCAACTACATGCACTCTACAAACTAAACTGGACATGCGGAGGCAAAAACCATAGGATCCCAGGGAAAAATCATCAATCTCCCCATCTCCCTCTCTTTCCCCAATTTCTCCCCCATCTCTCTCCACATCTCCCCCATCTTTCTCTCCCCCCCCATCTCTCCATCCATCTTTCTCCCCACCTACTCCCTCCCGATCTCCATCACTGACCCCAGCTCAAGTGAGCACCACAACTCTCTCATCTCTCTCCATCATTTCCTCTCTCCCCATCTCTTCTCATCTCTCCCCATCTCCTCCTTCCCCATCTCTCTCCCCATCTCTTCCCATCTCTCTATCCATCCACACCCCCCAATCTCTCTCCATCCACATCTCCCCCTTTCTCTCCACCACTCTGTCTCCATCCCTCACCCCGGCTCCCGTGAGCACCACGACCCTCTTGGCGTTCCTCAGCAGCTCGACGACAGCGTCGATGCCCCCCCCGTCCGCTATCCTCCTCCTCGTCCTCCTCCTCGTCCTCCTCATCAGTGCCACCTCCTTCCGCCGGCGCCTGCGAGAGGCCGCCTCCGACTCAGACAGAAGCCGTAGCAGCAGCAGCCTCTGCCACAGCGATGATGAGGAGGCGGAGGAGGCGGTGGTGGGGGAAGCAGCTGCGGCGGCGGCCGCACACAGAGGTAGTGGCCCAGCTCCACCTCCAACTTTTCCAGGCGCTCCTCCACCACCTCCTCCTCCAACTTCTCCATTTCCACCACCTCCACCATCTTCTCCTTCAGGTCCGCCTCCACCAGGTCCAACTTTTACAGCTCCACCTCCTCCACCATCGTCTCCTCCTCCAAGTCCACCTCCTCCTCCACCATCTTCTCCAGGTCCACCTCGTCCACCAGCACCATCTCCACCATCCCCATGTCTCTGTCTCTCCTCTTCCTCCTCTTTCTTCACGTGTCTCGCAGAGACACCAGGGACAGATTTCTCCAGACAAACTGGACACGTGGAGAGAAGGAGATGCAGGGGGAGGAGGGAGAGACACGGGGTAAAGCCCACCGAGTTAGTATTAGCTGCTGTGAAAAGAACCTGGCGTCTGGGGACCTCTTGGATGGGGCACTACGGTGGCTCAGAGATGTTAACAACCTTGCCTGGTGTACAGAAGTTCGTAGGTTCGGGTCCGACCCTGACGATGCCTGCTGTATATTTGGAGTTTGCGTCTCTCTCTCATCATCACGGCGGCTAGGAGATGTTAACAACCTCGCCTGGTGTACAGGTCGTGGGTTCGATCGCGACCCTGACAATGCCTGCTGTATATTTGGAGTTTGCATCTCTCCCTCATCATCATCACGGTGGCTAGGAGATGTTAACTACCTTGCCTGGTATACCGGAGGTCGTGGGTTCAATACTAACCCTGATGATGCCTGCTGCATATTTTTTGTACTAGTAAGGAGTTGGCATGTTCTGTTTGCGTGACAAGCCTTACTAGTTGACCGTGTCAGGTGGTGGCGGGTTTAGCGGCACCTTTATATTTACGCGATCAAACCCACAAACAAAACCTATATTATGCATATTTGAAGTCCGCGTCGTCTCTCTCTCCCCGTGGTGGTCACTGCGTATTTTTTTTCTCCGTGGTACTCCATTTTTTCTCGTCCACATTTAGAATCAACGTCACCACCCGTTGGGGGCCGTCCATAAATGACGTCACGGGATTTTGGACGATTTTTGACCCCCCCCTCAAATATGACGTCACAAAGCTCTGCCCCCCCCCCCCCCAAAAAAAAATCATGCTTCAAATCGCTTTAAACTATTGTCATTGTAGTGCGTATTTAATGTGGCGCTGCACTCTGATGTTGTAGAAAACATTTATTAAAAAGTATATTTAATTAAGTAGAACGTGTTGTCAATTTCTCAAACCCCCCCCTCGTCACACATCGTCACAAATGTCTGACCCCCCCCCCCCCAGGTGCGTGACGTCATTTATGGACGGTCCCTTATGCAATTTGTGCTTATACACCTTATCTATTATAAGTACTGTATTTATTTTTAGTGATTTGTTTACCTTTCCTCTGCTTTGCGCCCCTATCCTGTTTGTGTACTATTGATTGTTGTTGTAAATGTCTGACCCCCGTGTGCCCGTAACTGTCCGGAACATCTTTGAAAAAGAAAAAAAATTAACCCGTAAAAACAAAGTTTTTCACTATAAATCCTTTATATGCGTGGCGGCTAGAGTCCTCTCGTCCTCTGGCTTGAGATGGCTGCCACCTATGGGTCAGATGATTGCCTGCCACCATTAAGCAATTGGTAATTAAATATAATTAATTTTTTCCTAAAAAGTGTAAAATTTTGGAAAAAAATGTTCACGAAAATAAATTGTCACGCACAACGAGTCTGTGTGCAAAATGTCAGCTCGATTGGATCACGGGAAGTGGGTTAAAAAACGACCGAAAGATTTGCACGGTCGTAAGCGCTCAAGCAAATGAACTTAATATAAAGGATTTAAAAACGACTGAAAGATTTGCACAGTCGTAAGCCAGCAAGCAAGTGAACTTAATATAAAGGATTTAAAAATGGATATGTATTTCCCCCTTTCGTCCCCTCTGCTTTATCAATGTTGATTCCTGTCACCAAAGTACACTGATTTCAAACTCTCTTCGATCGGCACAGTACCACCTTCGCTTCTCATCGTCAGATTCATAAACTTGACGTCTACAAAATGATCAACTTTTTCTCAGCTACCCCAGTTGGGACTCGAACCCACAATCCCTGGCTTAGGAGGCCAGTGCCTTATCCATTAGGCCACTGGGGCTACATGTAGTATGATGAAAACCTGGCTTATGTACAGACTTCTTAAATAAACTCACAATAAAAAATATGTTTTTCCCCTTTGGTTCCCTCTGTTTTATTCATGTTGATAATTGTTTTTTTCCTAAAAAGTGGAACAGTTTGGAAAATTTTTTTTACGAAAATTATCACGCACAACGAGTCTGTGTGCAAAATGTCAGCTCGATTGGATCACGGGAAGTGGGTTAAAAAACGACCGAAAGATTTGCACGGTCGTAAGCAAGCACGCAAGCAAGCAAGCGAACTTAATATAAAGGATTTAAAAACGCCACTTTTTTCAAATTTTCTTCCTGTGATTTTCACACCTGATTTCTTGTGTTGCAGTCGAAACGTCGTGATAAATTGTTTTATTTTTATTATTTCCCTTCTACGTAACTTTACCGAAACAACCAAGAATACAAGCTTCATAGTTAATCGTATTTCTCCAGGATAAATATAAAATATTCTGATTCTGAATGCAACCTGGTATACCACTACGGCCTCCATGTTAGTAAGGGGGGGGGGGGTACAGCCTCCATGTTGGTAGGGGAGGTGACGTCACCAACCGGAGACCTGGCGCGTGCATGCGTCGCCATTTCAACCCTCACCCAACATGGCCGCCCCTTCCTTTCGCGCAACCCAACTCGCGCGCCGATTGGCCGGTTTGAACGCCCCACGTGACGAGCGGCCAACCAATGAGGAGGAAGCCAAAGAGAGGCGAGGGGTGCGACATGGGGGGGGAGGGGGCAGGGGAAACGCAGAGGGGAGACCCCCACCAATCGAGGAGACGACGGCAGCCGCCGCAGCCGTCACGCTCGGCAGTCGCTGCTCCTCGCCGCTCGCCTCACGCGTCGTCGTCTTCTCCTCCGCCTCGTCGTCGTCGTCCGCCGCCGTTTCGAGGCGCCGCCTCTTGGCGGGAGGCGTCCGATCGGCCGTCGCCATCTTGGGCGCCGGTGTTAATTATTTATTTGTCACTTCCGGTTCCGGTTGTGGCTTCGAGTGAGCAAATAATGAATAATTAATGTGCAATATTAATTAACGACGGGGTTTACGTATTAATAGTCACGCTAAACGAAACCAAAAATAAGATCTTGCGCGAAAAGTCTCGCAACAGAATGCATCTTAAAAAAAAACATTCACAGCGCCTAAGCCCCGCCTCTTCCGGCGGTGGCCAGTTTCCGCTTCCGCTCGGCTCTGAAGAAATAAATAATAAATAATTGTAATAATGATTAACATACTAATACATAACAATGTTCACGTATTAATATTCAGGCGAACGGAAATCGCCTTAAACAAAAGTCGCATATCGATATTCCGATCAATAAAGAAAATAAAAACCGTGCGTAAGCCCCTCCTCTTCCGGTACTCTTCCGATTTCTCTCCGCTCCAATCGAATAGTAACAATTAACTTTTAGTTAATATTAATATTATTTTTTTAATTCACAAATCCTTTCATAGAAAATCAAAAAGCGCGGGGCAGTGTATTAATGGAAGTGAATAAAAAGTAAAAAAAAAAGCCGCCACGATAAACGTAACCCCGCCTCTTCCGGTTACGCTCAGCCTCGCCCATAGAAGAAAAGGGCACCACGTGATGCACCTAGCCTGGCACCGCGTGATGCACCTAGCCTGGCACCGCGTGATGCACCTAGCCTGGCACCACGTAGTGCACCTAGCCTGCACCGCGTGATGCACCTAGCCTGGCACCGCGTGATGCACCTAGCCTGGCACCGCGTGATGCACCTAGCCTGGCACCACGTGGTGCACCTAGCCTGGCACCGCGTGATGCACCTAGCCTGGCACCGCGTGATGCACCTAGCCTGGTACCGCGTGGTGCACCTAGCCTGCACCGCGTGATGCACCTAGCCTGGCACCGCGTGATGTACCTAGCCTGGCACCGCGTGATGCACCTAGCCTGGCACCGCGTGATGGACCTAGCCTGCACCACGTGATGCACCTAGCCTGGCACCACGTGATGTACCTAGCCTGCACCACGTGATGCACCTAGCCTGGCACTGCGTGATGCGCCTAGCCTGCATCACGTGGTGCCAGGCTAGGTTCATCACGTGGTGCACCTAGCCTGCCACCGCGTGATGCACCTAGCCTGCACCACGTGATGAACCTAGCCTGGCACCACGTGATGCACCTAGCCTGCACCACGTGATGTACCTAGCCTGGCACCACGTGATGCACCTAGCCTGGCACCACGTGATGCACCTAGCCTGCACCACGTGATGCACCTAGCCTGGCACCACGTGATGCACCTAGCCTGCACCACGTGATGCACCTAGCCTGCACCACGTGATGCACCTAGCCTGGCACCACCTGATGCACCTAGCCTGCACCACGTGATGCACCTAGCCTGGCACCACCTGATGCACCTAGCCTGGCACCACCTGATGCACCTAGCCTGCACCGCGTGATGCACCTAGCCTGGCACCACCTGATGCACCTAGCCTGGCACCACCTGATGCACCTAGCCTGGCACCACCTGATGCACCTAGCCTGGCACCACGTGATGCACCTAGCCTGGCACCACCTGATGCACCTAGCCTGCACCGCGTGATGCACCTAGCCTGCACCACGTGATGCACCTAGCCTGGCACCGCGTGATGCACCTAGCCTGGCACCGCGTGATGCACCTAGCCTGGCACCACGTGGTGCACCTAGCCTGCACCACGTGATGTACCTAGCCTGGGACCGCGTGATGCACCTAGCCTGGCACCGAGTGATGCACAGGCACCGCGTGGTGCACCTAGCCTGGCACCGCGTGATGCACCTAGCCTGGGACCGCGTGATGCACCTAACCTGGCACCGCGTGATGCACCTAGCCTGGCACCGAGTGATGCACAGGCACCACGTGGTGCACCTAGCCTGCACCACGTGATGTACCTAGCCTGGGACCGCGTGATGCACCTAGCCTGGCACCGAGTGATGCACAGGCACCGCGTGATGCACCTAGCCTGGCACCGCGTGATGCACCTAGCCTGG